TTCCAATGAGGAAAAGCAGGGAGCCATTTCCTCTCACCTGGTTGTAATAACATACAAGTACGGCCCTTTTTAAATGCAATGAAGGTTTCTGCCTCTTCCACCTCCTCAGCACCAACTTCTGGATAAACTAAAATATTTTTCAATCCCACTAACCACTACTAATCACTGTGTATGTATTCTGGCTGGTATTCTTAGAAAAACAATAACTCTATCTAGGCCCCTCGCAATTTATAAACATCAAATGTAAATTTCCCTTCTCTCTTGTCTCTTCCAAAGAATGCAACCCTGATCTAATCCTCATTGCTAGAGTACTTCATTGTCGAAATATCCTCTGTCAGTGACTTCTGAACTGTCTCTAGTCCTGCAATGCAGGGACCAGAACTCCATACAATGCTTCAGCTATGTTCTATCTGCAGTTGTAGCATGACCTCCCTGCTTTTAAATTCTGTTTCTCAGCTAAAGAAAGTATCTGATGAAAATAAAAGCATCACATATTCCTTCTAAACTATTTTATGTACCTGTCCTGTCAACTCCAGTGAGCAGTGAATATGCATTCCAAGGTCCCTCTGTTCTTTTACAGTTTTCTCCCATGCTGCCATTTATTGTGTATTTCTCATTTATTGTGTATTTCTCTGCCTTACTACCCTGCCTTACTATGTATTATCCAATATTCCACTTGCTGCTTATTCTCCTACCTGGCCATTCCATTGATAGCTGTCTGCTGTCCCTAACTTTCTTCCACATTTTCAACCCCATGACCAATTCTGCATATCATGAACCTTTACATTTCCAACCAGTCACTTACCTCAATGTGTGCATGTCCCTGTTTCTGTTGGTGAGCTGCGTCAATGATTATTTGTAAATAATTTTGCAGTTCCTTCAGTTACCAATAATATCTTAGAAAAACAGCACGATTGTAAAAATACTGATGCAATCTTGCTACATTTATTCAGTTCTCTGTCACAGAATATTCTCACATTCCTACATAATGTAGACTGTATGTCTGTGATGCCGCCTTTTAATGATGTTGTGGGAGTCTAATTCCAATGCTGGCACCTAGACAAAAGCAACAAAGTGTGAAAGTTGGAAATCAGAAATAAAAACAGAAGTTGTTGGTAGCACATGGCCGATCTGGAGCAGCATAACGTTTCAGTCCTTTCATCAGAACTTGAGAAAAGAAGATGGACAAGTTAGAGATTTTCAGCCAGTGAAAGGGTAACAAGAAGTAAACAGAAACTCTGTGGTGGGATTTTTTTTTGAAATTTCATCATGCAATAGCCAAAATGGTCAAGTTAAAAAAAGACAAGGGTTGTATACAAATGATCTGTGAATGGCTTAATCAGAATCACAATCCAACTAATTAGCAATATCTCCTCATCCTGTACTGTATGTTCCCTTTCTGAATTTGGTTTTCTTGCTTTTTAGGCCTGATGAATACAAGATGAAAAATTGTAATGCATGTCCCTTTTCAGCAATGTTCAGCAACTATGTAAAAACCATGAGTGCAATATGCAGCACTCCTTTGGTACTGCACCAATATTTCAGCCTGGATTCTTGTGTTCAAGTTCTGGAGTGGCACTTGGACCCACAACCTGCCGAACTCACCCATCAGGTCTGGTTCAGGCTGGTGGTAGGTGTGGAGTTGCGACAGGATAGATGGTAGATTTTGCAGTTTCGTTGTGGTGTTCTGAAGGTGTCTGGGGCATCTTATATATCTTCCAAATTGTTGTTCCATTCCATCCAAGTCAATGAAAATGTAAACTAGGATCAGACATTAAACCAGCTTTCCATTCACTACCAATTGTTTAATACCTCATTGGAAAGTGAGAATCTACACCCTGTATTCTTACAGAAGGTTTTCAAACCCCACAGCAGTATCCAATAAACAAAATAACAATTAAAAGCTACAACAAAACAGTCCCAATGTAGTGAGATAACAAGGTGTAGAGCTGGATGAACACAGCAGGCCAAGCAGCATCAGAGGAGCAGGAAAGCTGACGTTTCGGGCCTAGAAAATCCCAAGACTGCTGACAGATAAATCGAGGTCTAATTTACACGAAGCATTAATTTAAATAGTTTTGATGTAAAAGAATCCTATAAACTCACTTTAAATATACTCCTGCAGGATATATTGTCAAACCAGACCATTGAGGAATCAGTCATCGGTTCCTTTATTTAGTCCAATATTTAAGCTGGCAGGGTAAAGGTTTTAATGGGTGAGACAGAAAACAGATTTCAAATGAGGAATACCTTTCCATTTATTTGTGGTCATTGTATCACCCTCTGAAAATTAATATGCTGGCCACATTACAAACACACCTTCTTCAAAGATCAGGTCCAGGCAATGGTTTTTAACCTGGAGCTCTGGTTTAGGAACAGTCAGCATTGTGTCACAAGGTCTCCAAACTCTGGAGCTCACAAGTCATTTTTTGTTCATTTTTGTGGAATGTGGGTGTCCATAAGACCATAAGACAGAGGAGCAGAAATTAGACCATTCGACATATTGGGTCTACTCCGCCATTCAATCATGGCTGATAAGTTTCTCAACCCCATTCTCCTGCCTTCTCCCTGTAAGCTTTGATTCCCTTCACAAACTTTTTGCTGTGTTAAATATACTGACTGGCTAGGCTAGCATTTATTTCTCAGCTCTAATTGCTCAGAGCACAATTAAGAGTCAACGTCATCACAGTGGGTCTGGAGTCATATGTAGACCAGGTAAGGATGGCATATTTCCTTCCCTAAAGCATATTAGAGAACCAGAGATAGTAAGAACTGCTGATGCTGGAGTCAGAGAAAACACATTGTGGAGCTGGAGGAATACAGCAGGCCAAGCAGCATCAGAAGAACAGGAAAGCTGATGTTCCGGGTCGGGAGCCTTCTTCAGAAATGGAGGAGGGACACGAGAGCTCTGAAATAAATAGAGAGGAGGGGTGGGTCTGGGGAAGGTAGGTGGGATAGTGATTGGTGAGTGCAGGTCGGCAGTGGTGGGGATTGGTCAGTGAGGTGGGAGGAGCGGATAGGTGGGAGAGAAGAAGGAGAGGTTGTGTCAGGTCAAGGAGGCGGGGATGAGAGGGAGGGTGGTCATGGAATGAGACGGTGGCGGGGTTGATTTTGGAACTAGTAAAGTCCACATTGAGACCATTGGGCTGTAGGCTCCCGAGGCGGAATATGAGGTGCTGCTCCTCCAGTTTCCGGGTGGCGTCGTTGTAAAACTGGAGGATGCCCAGGATGGACATGTCGTCCAGGGAATGGGAGGGGAAGTTGAAATGGTTCGTGACTGGAAGGTGTTGTTTGTCATGCAACTGGAAAGTGTTCCACCCCTGACCTCACCCCATGACCACCCTCCCTCTCATCCACACCTCCTTGACCTGACACAACCTGTCCGTCTTCTCTCCCACCTATCCACTCCTCCCACCTGACAAATCCCCACCACTGCCTACCTATACTCACCTATCACCATCCCACCTACCTTCCCAGCCCAACCCCTCCTCTCTCTCTATTTATTTCAGAACCCCCTTCCCCCTTCCCAATTTCTGAAAAAGGGTCCCGACCTGAAAAAAGAGATAACAAGTTGTAGAGCTGGATGAACACAGCATAAGAAGGGTCTGGGCCCGAAACGTCAGCTTTCCTGCTCCTCTGATGCTGCTTGGCCTGGTGTGTTCATCTAGCTCCACACCTTGTTATCTCAGGTTCTCCAGCATCTACAGTTCCTACTATCTCCCGACCTGAAAAGTCAGCTTTCCTGCTCCTCTGATGCTGCCTGGCCTGCCTTATCCCTCGAGCTCCACACTGTGTTATCTCTTATTAGTGAACCAGATGGGTTTTTGCAAAAATCAACAGCCATTGTTAAATTCCATTTTTCACTATTTGCCCCGAACATTTAACCCTAACCCAAACACAGGAGTTTGGAATGCCTGTACAATGATATACCACTGCCTTACTATTGGGCATGGGTTTGGAAAGTGCTGTTTAAAGAGCCTTGGTGAATTTCTGCAGTGCATCTTGTAGATGGTCCACACTGTGGCTCAGTGTTCGTGACGGAGGGAGTGGATACTTGTGGATATGGTGCCAAACAAGCGGGCTGCTTTGTCCTGCATGGTGTCAGGCTTCTTGAGAGTTATTGGAACTGTAGTTCCAGTGGAAGGAGTTTGGAGGGAGGGACAATGAGAGGCAGGAAGAAAAATGTTCAGCCAGAATTGGCAACATGCTTACCAGTTGATTTGTGTTGTTTGAGACAGTAGGTGTTGATCTCTGACACAGCAACATCTGCAACAAGAAGAGAAGAGATACAGCCGAGAGGAGGAGAGGTGGGGAAGAGGGAGAGAGGGCAAACCCGAGAGGAGGAGAGGAGATACAGCCGAGAGAAGGAGAAGTAGGGGAGAGAGGAGGAGAGGTGGGAAAGAGGGAGAGTGGTGTAGAGAAGGGGAGAGTGGTGTAGAGAAGGGGAGAGGGGGTAAAGGCTGGGGGTGGGGTGAGGGAAGAGGAGAGGTGGGGAAGAGGGGGAGGGGAATAGAGAGGAGGAGAAGTGAGGGAGAGGAGGAGAGGTAGTGGGGATAGAGCCTAAGAAGGAAGAGGGGGTAAAGCCTGAAGGGGAGTGGTGGGGAAGAGGGGAATAGAGAAAGAGGGAGAGGGCGGAAAGAGAGGAGGAGAGGTGGGGAAGAGGAGCGGAGTTGGGGGTGCTCACTCAGGGAGAGCTCTCTGGGGACAGGGAACCCCTGAGGCTGGGAGATGGCATCAAAAGAGCAGGCGGAGGGCCTGAGCAAGTACCTGCGGTGTGGCCTGTGCCGGGAGCTGTTCCAGCAGCCGGTCATCCTGGAATGCGGCCACAACTTCTGCCGGGGCTGCATCCAGAGCGAGTGGCAGAAAGGAGAAGGGGGCGGCTGCTGCCCTGAGTGTCTAACCCTGTCCCGGGGCAGTAGCGTCAAACTGAACAGGGCCCTGGCCAACCTGGCCGACAAGTTGAGGAACCTGAAGCCATCCCTGGAGCTCGCTCCTTGGGCAAAGAGTCCGGCCGGAGAGGGTGGACTCGGGCTGTATTGCAGCGAGCACCGGGAGGAACTCAAACTGTTCTGTGAGACTGAGCGACAGCTGATCTGTGTGATGTGCCTGGATGGCAGAGGGGGTCACAGTCACAAGTACCACGACTTCATGCTCATCCATGAAGCTGTCGTCAAATACAAGGTAAAGGAAGGTTAAAAAAAAAGCGGTTTCTAAACACAGTGAGCGCGATTTTAACTCCGGGCGCAGTCGGATTTCTCGCCGAATTGATGTCTTTCTGAGGGAGAGGGCCATTCAGTTTTGCCCACATTTACCTTACTCTAATTGGTGTATTCAGATCCCCCACCCCAACTCCGCCATTGAATTGAATTGAAGTGCAGAGGGTAGTGTCCTCTGCCCCAGTGCCAGGAGCTCCGGGTTCAAGTCCCGCTCCTGGACTTGATGCCCAAGGAAGCTGTTATCACAACACCGTTCCCAGCGGGTTGCTTATGGTTTAGTATATCATGTGGCACCGTGGTAGTGTCCACAATTCTGGGCCAGGAGGCCTGGGTTCACGTTCCACCTGCTCCAAAGGTGCATCATAACGTCCCTTGGTGATGGTCACTTTGTAAATCCTTCTACCACTGTGTCAACATTGAGGTGGTGCAAGGAAGTGAGATTCCTGGTGGGCTGGAGTGGGGACAGGATGGGAAGAAACCAGCCACTGTCTCTCCCTATCCCCCGACCTTTATCCAGAACTCCAGTCTGTATAGTGTCTGTGAAAGTGTATATTACTCTGACCACTGAGAATTGCCATAACATTGAACTTGGATCAAGAGTAGGCTGCTCGATCCTTCGAGCCTAATCCACTATTCAGTAAGATCATGGCTGATCTGATTTTAACCTTAATTCCATGCTCCTCCCTACTCCCCCACACACACCCCCCCCCACAATAATCTTTCATCCCCACCACCCTGCCCACCATATCAGCTTGCTTGTCCCCCGCAACCCCCATCCCACACAAATAAACATTTCTTCAAAAGGGACTGTTTTCACCTTCTTTTGAGAAAAGGTTGAGCGGGGATCTGTTTGAAGGGAATAAGATTATGAGGGGCATGGACAGGGTGGATAGAAGGCATCTGCTCCTCTTAGGGGGAGGTTAAGTAGCTTTATAAGGTGAAAAGTTGGAGATTTATAGGTGATTTGAAGGAAAATGCTTTCAGCCAGAGGGTGGTGGGGGTCTGGAATGCACTGCCTGGGCGGTGAGAAACCTAACCATCTTTAAAAACTATTTGGATATGCATTTGAAATGTCATAACATTCAAGACTATGGGCCTGGAAGATGGGAATATTTGGCCTAGGTTGGTACAGATTCGATGGGTCGTTTCTGTACTTTGTGACTTTATGTCTCTATTACCCTAGGAAAGACTGAAGACATCCCTGGACAAGCTGAGACAGAAGATCATGGTCCTTGAAGCAAAGTTGAAAGAGAAACAGAGTATTTCGGAAATCGGAGTAAGTTTACTTGTTGCTGCCTGTTACTCTCTGTCTGTCCTCCCACTCAATAACCTGGTGTCCCACCATTACACTCCATCTGCCTTCTTGTGTTGCTCTGTTCCCGCAGGAAAAATCGGTCAGTCTGCAGAACCTTATCTCGTCCGAATTCGCTAAAATGCATCAGTTCCTCAACAGAAAAGAAGAGAGTTTGATTCGAGAGCTGAAGGACCATGAAGACAACCTTTCAGGAGCGATGGAAAAGAACCTTCAAGAGATAAAAGGTCATTTAGATTCTGTTCGGCGGAAACTATCACGGTTACACACAAAAATGGACCAGCAAGCATCAATCAACTTCTTGGAGGTACCAGGGGATCATATGGAGTGGGGAAACATTTGTTTTTATCTGTAAGGTTTAAAAATTATAACAGCTTTAAAAATACTCAATGGAATGAATATTTGTGATTTTGCTTGTGTAGCGAACAGAAACAAGTTCTTTGTTTGTTGAATGCACTGCCCGAGAGCGGTGGAGACAGCAGCTTCAGGTGAGGCATTCAGAATGGAATTAGACTGAAAAGGAAGATTGTGCAGGCTTACGGGAGAAGGCAGGGGGATGTTTGCTTGGACAGTGGGCTGAAAGGTCTCCTTCTGCCCCTTCACAATTCAGTGGTGAATACAATTCATGAAAAAAACACGACAACTTGCCAAAAAAAGGTGTGAAACAGGAACCTGTTAAAGTAGAATTCCTCAAACTGTTTTATAATTTCCCTAATGGGTTTTGAGTTTATCTGGCTCTCAAACATCATTCATCAATTGTTAGTCAATACAATTCTCTCTAACAGTGCACAGTTTGTTATAGTTGTAACTTTCAGTGCCAAACTCATTATTTCATCAATCTGTTTAGGGATTTTGGGATACTCCTCTGGAGCAAGTGTGACTTGAACCCTGGTCTCCCTGTCCAGGGGTATGGACACTTTCACTGTGCCCCAAGAGCCCTCAGGGGCTTTATATAATCCTGTGCTATCACCCACCTGAACCTCACTGAGATTGTGAATAGTGGGTTGGAGCTAATTTCCCAGCTGAGAAAAGGCTGATGGAGCATGGACAGGAAAATGGAGTTAAGATTGCAATTAGATCAGCTGTGATTTTACTGAACAGTGCGGTAGCCTTGAAAGGCTGAATGTAATCCAGGAGAATGGGTGGGAGACTGGTTTCATACCTTGTACAACTTTAGAATTCACTGAGTAGAATGAGAAACAAGTCTTGCACACTGTTACCTGATTGATGGGCAAGGTTAAGATTGCTCCCGTGGTGAAGAGGCGATGGCCTAGTGGTATTATCGCGGGACTGTTAATCCAGAGACCCAGGTAATGTTCTGGGGACCTGCTTTTGAATCCTGCCACAGTAGATGGTTGAATTTGAATGCACTAAAAAATGTGTGGAATTAAGAATCTAATGATGACCATGAATCCAATGTCAATTGTTGGAAAAATCCATCTGGTTGAGTAATGTCGTTTAGGGAAGGAAACTGCCATCCTTACCTTGTCTGGTCTACATGTGACTCCAGACCCACAGCAATGTCATTGACTGTTAACTGACCTCTGGGCAAATAGGGACGGGCAATAAGTGCTGGCCTAGCCAGCATCACCCTCATCCCATGAATCAATAAAAAAAGTTGAGTAACTGCTGCAAAATTCTGTCTATGCACCGCACTGACCTGATGACAAAATTACAGTGTTGAGATAGAGTTGAGGTGTGGGGTCGGTGGGGGCGGGAGGGGGGGAGGGGGGGGGGGGGGGGGCGGGGGGGGGGGTGTTGGGGGGTAGAGGGGAGAGGGGAGAGTGGAATTGCTGGATCTAAAACTAAGCATTTGTGTGTCATGTCAGAGACCCAGAAATGAGCCCATGAGCGCATACTGTCAGGATGTGCTTGCACTAACTGACCCTGGAAGGATGTTAATCAGGATAAAATAAAGAGACCAGAAAAATGGTTGGAGCAGATTAATGAATGAAAAAGTCAAGCATTCTTGTGCCAAAAGAAGTTCTGAGATCCATGTCCCTTCCTCAGTGAGGTTATCTTTGTGCCATAGGAACAGGAGAAAGCTACTCAGCCTGATACCTGCTGTGCCACTCAAATAGAATGTGTTAATTGGTATCTTAACTCTGGTTACTCAACGTAGCTCCATGCTGCCTGGTACTCTGACCCAACAAAATTCTGTCAGCTCATCTTGAAAGATCCAATTGGATCCATAGCATGTTGGGAGACAGAATTCCTGATTCCAATATAAACTGTATGTGGGAAGTATTTGTGTCGTTCACATTTAAATCTCTTTTAATGATGTAATTGCATCTCGGCTACTTTGATGTTGTGTTGTGGGATTCTACTTCCTATTGTCTCTATTTGGTTCTGTCCTAACACTGTCGTGAGTACTGTACAATGCCCAGCTCAGATACCTCTTCTGTTTTATATTTAGGAAGAAGCTTGGGGACAAAAGAGGTATGGGAAATTCTTCACATAACCTTTCTTTATCAAGCAAAAATAAGACTTATAGTGTTTAAGGTCACTCTGTAATGCCGATTATTACATTTCTATTGTTAGTGAAGACAGCCACCATATATTAACCAGTGAAAATCAGCCTCTGGGACTGTTCAAAGGACCATTACAGTACACAGTTTGGAGAGAAATGATTAACGTTATCTGCCCAGGTAAGAGGCTGTTCTTGAACTTGAGAAGAAAAGAGACTTAAAACATTAACTATTATTATGATGCACATGTTGTTATGCAAAGATCAGATATCGTTGCTTCTTCAGTGTTGGACAACTTCCTCAGATACGTTCATCAGATTTATTTTAAACTGTCACCCTACCTCCACTCTTTGTTGAAACTGCTGGACACAGCAACTCATGTTGTAGAACAGAGAGACCTAGGGGTTCAAGTACACAACTTTTAAAAGTTTGCATCACACATAAATAGGGTGGTTAAGAAGGCATTTAGCATGCTTGCCTTCATTTCTCAGTCCTTTGAATATCGGAGTTGGGACGTTACATTGAGGTTGTATTGGGCGTTGGTGAGGCCCCTTCTATAATACTGTGTCCAGTTCTGGTCTCCCTGTTATAGGAAGGATATTATTAAGCTGGACAGGGTTCAGAAGACATTTACCAGGATGTTGCTGGGAATGGAGGTTTTGAGTTAGAAGGAGAGGCTGGATAGTCTGGGACTTTTTTCACTGAAGCTTAGGAGGTTGAGAGGTGACGTTATAGAAGTTTATAAAATAATGAGGGGTATAGATAAGGTGAATGGTAGGTGTCTTTTCCGTAGGGTGGAGTATTTCAAAACTTGGGGGAGCATTTTTAAGGTGAGAGGAGAAAGATTTTAGAAAGACCTGGGGGCAGTTGTTTTATAGAAAGAGTAGTTTGTGTGTGGAATGAACTTCCAGAGGAAGTGGTGGATGCAGGTACAGTTACAATGTTTAAAAGGCATTTAGATAAATACATGAATACGAAAAGTTTGGAGGAATATGGGCCAAGTGCAGGCAGGTGGGACTAGTTTAGTTTGGGATTATGCTCGGTATGGACTGGTTGGACCGAAGGGCCTGTTTCCTTGCTGTATGACCCTATGTCTCTATAACTAAGAATCAGTTAATTCTGTAACAAGCCACTGGTCCACAAGTTGTAAATCTCCATCTTGTTTTGATGACAATGGAATGCCACTGACGCTCTGTTTTTCTCTCCTATCATTGTGCTCACCCTCAAGGTTATACAATAGTTCATTTGTTTAATAGAAAGGACGTGTTTTTTTTGCCTTCATTGTAGCAGATACACCAAGTGCAAGTATTACAGTTCTTCAATAATGGCCTGTCCTCCAAACTGAATAACCAATAAAAATGATTAAAAATAAACATTGTAGTCTCGCAGAACGAAATGTGCTTAAGATGTAGCAGTAACCAAGATGAGTGTCCATGAAGCACTTTTAGCTCATTCCGTCTCTATAAACATTGATTTGCTGCTCCTTTCAGTTACATAGATGCACTAACAGTTCGTCCTTGCATTAATCGAGTTGATAACATTTGCTCAATGTTTTCTCGCTCTGTTCTCAAAGTAATATTAACATCGCCCTGTGTTCTCAGAGTGTGAGCTGGGCCTTTCTGTGTTGTACTGGGTGGAGAAAAATTAACAAGCAGCAACTCCTCCAAAACACTTGCAGAAAAAATCAGTTAATGCCCAGTTACGTTGAGGACTTGTGGAGAATTGGGAGTCTGTCTTATGTCACGTTTGATGTTATTTTTCATGGCGAATGAAATTGGACTTTAAGGAAGAGCAAAATCATGTCAGTTGTCATTTTCTGACACATGCCTGATATTTAAATCTGTTGAACTTAGCAGGGCGAAGTATCAGGTGGTGTCCATAATAGATGATGGAGTCTGTGTAATTCTGGAGCTCTTATAGTTTCAGTGGTAGCGTCCTAAACAGTTTTATTAAAGATATCCAGAATAAAACAGGCTTGGAATATGGCAGCAGCCAGTTTTACACCCCTTCCTCCCATTTGTATTTTCCATGAAAGACAGTAGGATAAGGGATAAAATGGACTGGCAGCTCCCTATCCTATAGCCTGGTTTAAAAGTTATCCCAGTCCCTCTTAGTCTTCACATCAGAGTTTACTCTCTTATTGGCGACTCCCAATCAGTGGAAATGTTTCCCGATTGACCCAATGAAAACCTTCCCAAATCTTTAACAGAAACAGTCTCCCATAACATTCCTTGCTGCATCTCTGAGAATTAGGAAACGTAGAAAATAGGATCAGGAGTAGGCCATTTGGCCCTTTGAGCCTGCTCTGCCACTTACTATGTTCGTGGCTGATCATCCAACTCAACAGCCTGTTCCTGCTTTTCCCCCCCATATCGTTTGATCCTCATGTGCTTGAAACAACTCCACAGCAGCCGGTATCCCATCACCAAGTCCCCCTTTATTTACACATGGAGCGTCTTTGACACTGATTCAGATCCCTTAGAGCCAGCTCTCAGAGTGAACAGGGTGTCTGACACCTCTGTTTATATCTGTCAGCCAGTGCTCCCTGATTGGACCAAGTTAACAGCCCCAATCAGGGAAATCATATTCTAAGAGGTCCACCTGGCTGATGTTATTCCAATCATTGCATGCTATTCCCAACTCCTTCTTGAAATCATACAATGTTTTGGCCTCGACTGCTTTCTGTGGTAGTGAATTCAACAGGCTCACCACTCTGGTGAAGACGTTTCTCCTCATCTCAGTCATAAAATCTGTATCCTTAGACTGTGACCCCTGGTACTAAATTCCTCTGCCATCCTTCACTGATCTACCATTGTCTGGTCCTGTTAACATTTTATATGTTTCCATGAGATCCCCCTTCATTTTTCTGAACACCAGTAAGTATAATCCTAAATGAGTTAACCTCTCTTCCTATGTCAGTCCTGCTATCCCAGGAAACTGATAAACTTTCGCTTCATTTCCTCCACCATCAGAACATCCTTCCCCAAATAAGGTGACCAAAACTGCACG